CATACCTGATTATCAATAATTATGTACAATAAGGTAAGAAGATGTATGATTGAATTTACTTTGACAAAACATAAGAGGGCTCACCTTAATCTTCATTTTGGGGCTAAGCTCAAGATCACCCCTGAATATTGTAACTGGAGATATTTTTCGAGTTCTGAGAGCACCTAGCAATGAAGTTGGACTCTCAACATGCACTAACTTCGCACATGTCTTCTTTGAAAATATACCCAATAGATTATCATTCTCATCCATTACGCTTTTATTTGCTTCCCCAGTAAGACTTCCTCTTACAACTATACTTTCCATTCTCATACCATGTGTATTCATGTGTTCAGCAATGGTGCTGACTTGATCTTCTTTAGTTCCTTCTAGCGGATATTTAATAGGGAATTGTGCATTAGTAAGCAGACAAAGACGTTTCTTTCCTTTATATGTTTCTCCGTATTTCTTTATCAGCATATCCATCCCAACAATTATAGCATCAAGAACTACCAACAAGGTCAAGGCCAAGGATATGAAAATGAGCAAATAATCAAGCACTTGTAAATTATGCTTCTGCTTATATGGGACCAATTTCCTTCCTGAAGCAATTTCTTATACAATTATATCAAAAGATTTATATTCGTATGAGAATGACCAAAAACTTCATCAAACTAGAGAGAGAGAGAGAGAGAGAGAGAGAGAGAGAGAGAGAGAGAGAGAGATTGCTTTTTGACAGAATAAATGAAAATTGCAACCATACTCACACATGTGTCTATATACAAAATTCAAGCAATCCAGTAAATAAATAGCCAATACTTATTAGCGTGTAATTATGTACAAAGTTCATCTGTAAAACTCTTATAATAAAAAATTTCGACCCTAGATAAAATAAATTGCAATTAGAAGGATTGTGAGAATAAGTTAAGGAAAAAAGTCTCACCATTTTGAATCCGAAAGGAGTAAGAATGGAAATATTTTATGCAGAAGGTGCAGGCCAAGAAGAAATAACAATCATGAAAGTTTCACACACTAGGCTGTTGCACTAGAACAATAAAGGATACAATCACCATCACGAGTTCCTCGTGGGAGTTGTTGTAGAGTTTCAACAAGTTGCCCGTCAACTACTTTGATATTTTGTAAAACCACCACATGCTCGTATCCACCCACTTCCTTTGTTAGTTCATTTTCAGTTTCTGAGATATCAAATAGCACCATTAATGAGTAATGCTCCCTCGAAAGCTACTAAAGATTTAAATTATAATACAATGGAATTACTGAAATGCAGATAGCAACCAGAAATCAGAGACAAATTAAGTATAATCATTTAACATTGTAATTGCTGTAAATTATTTCATACAAAGCTAAAGGGTACCTTCTGTTCCAAACAAAACAACTGCTACTTCATCATATTTGCTGTAAATCAGCTGCAAAAACAAAATGGGGATTAAGAAAATTAGATTAACACTGTAAAAGCAGCATTACAATAAAACCATCAACCGCTCACCTTCTTCTCTGCTAGCATAGAGCAAACTTTTTCTATCTCTGGAAGAGCTTTGTGCATTGATGGACTGACATCGATCAACAAAACCATGGCGTCCTAATCCCAAATACATGAACAATATTGTTAGCTTAAATATAAAAAACCTGAAAAGAAGTTGCCCAAATTTAAGCAGCCTTAAAACCCTAAACCCTGTACAGATAGCAATACAGTGTATCATTTGATTTTGACATATCGTAGTTAATGGTCTTCTATTTGAAACCTTCAGAACCCAAACAGCCCAAATCAAATTGAAACAATAAAAATAAAAATAAATTTTTTTAAAAAAGAAGAGTATTTTAGACAGTGGAAGGAAGAAGAAGAGCTTTTACTTGAAGCATAAATCAGAAAGAAGAAAAGTTAGGAGCTTTGTTACCTTGTTTCGAGCCATGGAAGAGGGAATTGGTAAAGCTTGTCGCGGAAGTTGGGTTTTGTTTCAAATGGTCTGAATGTTGCTGTGTGACTGTGATGTTCTTTCTTCTTCCCGCTTTTGGGTTGGGAAATGAAATGGCCAAAATTACTTCGTGGCCCCACAAAAGTTTGATTATTATATTCAAGCCCTTTATATCAATCAAATAAGGATTTTGATGACCCAGACCAACTATCCTTAATCAAAATTTAATAGTTGGCATTATCAAATCTAAAAATGTAAAACACACAATTAGAGTTCATAAAATTTGAACTCAAGACGTTATTTAACAAAATTTAAATTGGGCATCATTATATCATTAATTTGAAATAGATTGAAGTGCCAATGAAAAACTCGTTATATTCCTTATTTCTTTACTAATATTTGGTTTTATAAATAGGAAAGATTATCACGACTCACCTCTTAATTGAATGTCCGCCTTAAAGTAAATTTTAGACTTCGTTTAATAGCACTCATTTACAAACCATATGCATCATGTAAATCTCCTTATTCCTTGATGATCACCAAATGTAATGATTTCATTATGAGGAAAAGTGGAAGTTTATCTTGAATTATAAATTTATATTTCAGAAAATCCATGAGTGTGATTCTTGATTTCTTACGTGCTCCACTCATATATATTTTTTAGTACAAGTAATATTAGGGTGGGGGAATGGAACCTATGAGCTCAAGTGCACGGATAAATTATGTTAACTACTAGAGCTACATGCCCTTTGCTCCACTCATATTTTGACTCCGAAGGTCTAAGTAGAGGCTCAGAGCCCACATGCACCCTCCAACCCAGAAAGCCCTAACCCACTTTCAAAGCCCACATTAGGACCCAAGAAGAGTTTAGAAAGAAACAAAAGCAAAATTGAAACATGTGATGATAAAAGAGGCATAACACAGACGCTCAAGATTGCAGCTGCAAACACGCAGAGACAGGGCACAAAGAAACAGAGACTTCAACTGAGACAGACCAAAAAACAATGGCTTCCATGGCTTACCCAACAAGCTCCTCCTATAACTACAAGAATTACAGAAGTTTCACCACTCCCCATATCCTAGTTTCTCAGCAGCAGCAGCAGCAGCAAAATGACCAAAAACCCAGTGATCCAATTGGTCGAAGGTGCTTATCTTCCTCTCGCTCTCTCTCTCTCTCTCTCTCTCTCTCTCTCTCTCACACACACACCCACACACACAAAACCCGCATGGTTTTTGAACCAAAATGGCTAACAGAAACATTGCATTGAAAAATTTGAAGGGAAATAATACTAAGGAGCAGCGAATTGGCAGTGGTAGGAGCCATCTTCAACTTCAGGTACTTGTCCTCTGCATTCATTTCAACTATTTTTTATGCTTCAATCTTATCTCTTCCTCAACCTCATGACATTTTTGGACTCACTATAATTAATTGTTATGATTTTGGTGGAATAATTTTGATGGGTGGGTGCAGTGGTAAAAAGCCAGATTATCTTGGGGTGCAGAAAAATCAACAGGCTTTGGCACTTTGTCCAGCTACTAAGAATTGCATATCAACCTCTGAGAATGTCTCTGACCTTACCCATTATGCCCCACCTTGGTATGCTTCTTCTTCTTTCTCTCTCTTTCTTAGATTGATTAGGGAGATGAATTCAGATTTGCAGAAGCTTTACCAACTTCATTTGTTTATTTTATTATCTTCTATCACCACTGGGATTGGTATTGGTGGTGCCCAAACCCAAATCCATGGAATGATGAGAGAGTGGAACTTTGACCAAATCGAGGGTCAAAAAAGGAGGGCTGTAAGCCACTAAGCTTGTAGAGGACGAGGGCCATGGCCCATGTGGGAGCCAAAGCCAATGACCTCGTGTTCAAAATTTCCCCTCCCACCACCGACCATTTTAAGTAAAATGTGGTGCATGTGTTTTTTTTCTGTTACAGGAACTACAACGGGGGTAGGAAGAAGCCAGTCAACAGGGAAGTGGCTATGGAGGAACTTCTCCAAGTGGTAAAAAGCATTTCAAACATGTTTGCGTCCTTATCATCCATGGCAACTTAAAATCCAATGATTTATGGCCATTGGAATTTCATCAGCAAAGATCAATTCTGAAAATTTTATTTTGCAGATTAAATCAACAAAGCCGGACAAGTTCACACCGCGGATCATGGAGAGCAAAAATGATTATGTGCGAGTGGAATACCAAGGTCCCATACTAGGGGTAGGTGTGACTCATAACCTCAAAAGTGTGCGTGGATGATTAATGGTCGTTGATCAATGTAGGTTTATTTTAGAACCCACATTCATTAACGACTATCAATCATCTAGGCGTACATGAAAGTAGTTGATTAATAGTTGTCAATCAATGATTGTTAGTCATCTAAACGCGCATGAGCAATTGCAAGATAGAAGAATAATAACATGTTGATTTTCTTATATTCATGCAGTTTGTGGATGATGTTGAGTTTTGGTTCCCACCGGGCAAAGACTCAATAGTGGAGTATCGATCTGCATCCCGGATAGGGAGCTTTGATTTTGACTATAACAGAAAGAGAATCAAGGTGAAAACTACAAGCAATCTTAATTTTTACAACCAACTACATTCAACAAACAACTTCAACTGACTTCCAGACTTTATGACAGGCGTTGCGGCAAGAGTTAGAGAAGAAAGGTTGGGCTTCTAAGGACAGCTTTTGAGGGACACATTGCTGTCATGCAATAAGATCACATGCAATCAAACATTGCCTCAGTGGTCATGCAGATAGATCAAGATTGAACCCAGATTTTCAAATTAGGCAACTGCAATCCTTTAATGATTTTTGTATTGAAGACTGAAACATAAAAATTCGAAACCTCCGGCAGGTTCCAAAGATGAGTTGAAACAGTCGACGTTGGTTGGCTAACAGATCTTGCTTGCATCGTGAAGGCAAACTAGAAACAAGTCTTGAGTAAAGTGTGTTGGTTCAAGAAAAATAACTCATCTCAATCATATTAAGCATTGGATTTAACTTGTACACAACTCGGTAGAGATTCTTAAAATCCAAATATTGATATTGGAGATACAAATTTTGTTTCCCAGTTTTTTTTATGCGATCTTTTGTTTCCCAGTTGCTTCTCACATCACTTAATGATAACAAAACAGAAAATACCAAAGGTTTGAACAGGAGATTTTATGCGCAGCACATATGCAAGTCTCTAAATCATGTAAATGGCTGATGAGAACAAAAGAAAATCTCAAAAATTGAACTCCAAGCCAATACAGGTCAGGGAATAAAAGAAATGGTGCAGGGGTGGATAACTTACTTTGTTCACAAAGAAAATATCAGTACAGAAATGGTTCTCGACTGTTTACTGCTTTAAATGTTTCACCGTAATAGGGGAAGTTGAGTACAAACTGAAACTTTGCAACATAATAAACAAGCCATTTCGAGATATGAAGACCTGGAATAGATGACATTTTCAGCTCTGGTCAAAACCGGCAGCATGGTCCGGGGTAGGCATCAATCTTTCCTCAGTTCCATGTACTCATACCGAGTGCCATCAGCATTTAGAACGACAATTTCAAGCCTGTCACCCTGTAAGACATCCAGAACACATTAAAGAAAGAGGTGCAGATGAGCTTGATATAAAAATGGACAAATATGCAAAGAACCAAAAACTTACAGTGTATATATCTCTCTCTGTTGCTGATGCAAAAACAGTTTTAACCAAATCTATTGCCTCTGCTTCAGAAAGTGGTGTAACGGCATCCTGCACAAGTCATATATTGTAGAAAAGGTTAGTAGCAAAAAACCAATAAAATGAACCAATTGGGTAAATTAGAAGTAATCAAAGTCAAGGGCAAACCACAGCAGGCAATAAGAGAGGGCTAGGCGACTTCAACTGATTATCTAAAAAGGGTATGATGAGTGTAGACCCGGAACCTTGGGAGCTATATCCAACCCTCTCATAGGAACCAACAGCATCATATGTGAAGACACAGCCCTTACCTATAGATTAAAAATTAAAATGATTTGTTAGCAGAAAGAGTCTCAACAAACAGCCAAAGCTTCTAAACTCTAATATTTACCTTCACTATCTAAACCACCCAAAACAAAGTGTGTTGGAAAGTAGTTGAGCCATTGCAGGGCAGCTCATTTGTTTGTTATGTTGATGCTGATAGATCTGGGAAAATTTGACAAAAAGAAAAGCCATCAGTTCCAGAACATACCTCAACTTATTTTGTGTCAAATAAATACAGCCTATTTACGATCGTAAACATCCAAACACCATTTGTTACAGACAAAATGAGTACATGAAAAAAGAAAAGTATTGGAATAGGTGTTTAAAGCTTCACCAAGTGCTTAGCAGCCAAATGCTTTTGCAATGCTTTCACATCAGCTTGAAAACCAGACGAGGCTAATACAGCTTTGTCTGCTCTGCAAGTTCAGAAGACAAAACATTACATAAGACCCAACATCATCATCTAGGAACTCTGATGAACAACAGAAACTCTCTCTTCATCTACATAAAGATTGCTACATTATATCAGCAAAATGACTTTAGCATCTTCTGTCATTCATTAAGAACATCAGCTATCATCACATCTCTATCTGCAATAATTTAACCTTGAATCAAACAAACTAAGCTCATGTCCATGGTGAAAAAAAAAAACACTGAGCAGGCTTTGTTCTAAGTAACTAAAAATGATAACAAAAATGTTTTTTTGCTTCATAACTTGAAGCAACCCAGGCAACCAATTTATTATGTTTTTAACAGCTTTAAATCCTAAATGATATCACTTTACAGGAACATCCTACTGGAGCAAGTGATCATTAGTTGAAGAAGATAATGGTCACAACTAAAGTGATGCTCATATGGATTAGTCAAAATGCCAAATGTACAACCCAATTGCAATTGATGATTTATGCCTCCTCTCTAACTTTGTTTCCTAAACTTAAACCCCGTGGGAAACACAAATATATCAATTTTAAAAGTTATTTGGAAACTATTAATTTAGATATTACTAAGCTTCTCTATCAAACACAATACGTGATCATAAAAATGATTAGCAGTAAAACTGCAAGCATTTCAAGAAAAATCCCCGTAATAAAGGATACATTTCCAAGGTTATGAACAAAATAACGCCATAAACTAAACCCAAAGTGCCTGCCCAAAAACCAACTAGCTTTTTATTTTTTTGGTTAAATAGCTGAGACATAATGAGAATACAATCTGACCCCGGTGATAATTAGAATAAACCCAAACCAGAAACGAAATAAAACCAGAGAAAACCTAAAAATGCAAAAAGAAAAAAGAAAAAAACCCTAAAAGCAGTCGCTCAGATACAGCAAAAAACAGCCTTTAATAATCAAGACTTTAACTCTCCAACACACAGAGAGAAATATATACATATATATGTATATCGAAATTTCTGAAAAAACAAATATGTAAGAGGGTTTTATGGGTGAGTACAATTTGCAGATCTTAGAATAGTCGCGGGTGAGAATACTGTAACCAGTCGACATCCGAGTATCGGCCGCAATCACACAGTAATTGGCTCCCGCAATAGCGACACAGGATCTGCGATCATCACAGAAACGAAAAAATACCCACACAAAAAAAGGAAAAACAATCATTAACTCGTACATATACAGAAATACATGAATAGATACGTTTACACAAAGGGAGGGAAAGAGACAGTACCCGCCATTGTTGTCGTAGGGGGACCAGTTAGCATGCTGCTTGGTCATGGTGAATGCGTCTGGGTCAGTGAGAGAAAGAGAGAGAGATGAGCAAATTTAGGGCGTGGAGCTAGAGCTAAAGTGCAAAGTGAGCTCTGGGTACGCCTTCTTCAATTTTATTCTTTCAGATCGCTCGGTGTCTTTTGCTTCAAGAAATAAATGGAGTTACGACGTCGTTTGGAAAATGAGGGGTAATGAGGCCCATATCATACATATTGGTGACTAAATTGGGCCTAGCTTGGACCGGGCTGTCAATCCAGTTTAATCTTTTCGGCCTTGGTAAAGCCGTGCGGCTATACTATTTCGGCTATACTATTTATTAAAAAAATTAAATAAAAAAACCTCACAGTATGCATATCGTACCATTCCTAACCTCCCCTTCGCTTTCATTCAAAACCCAGAACAGCTCTCTTCTTTGGCACATTTACTTCAACAATTCACAAATACAGAACCCAGCCACCGCCATTTTCATTCAAAACTCACACTAACTCTCAATTCTTTAGCACCAAAAGAGTATTCCTCCCTTCAGTTTATGGCATCTGGGATGCCTTAACTAGCGGTAACAATGCCCGGAAAGCCATTGCCTCGGTTCCTCCCTTGTTACAGTCAATGTTGTTTTCTAAATTTTTCGTGACATTTGACATGTTCTTATGGTTTGGCATTAAAAGTTTACAACTTAGTTATTTGCTAAGGGTGATGTTTCAGGGTCTGTAGCAGAATTTGATGAGGCAATTGAGTTGGATCTTCGCCAACAGGCATGCAAGCCTAGTTGTAGTTCTTGATAATTGCTTCTTGTTTTTTTTGTGGTTTTTGGGATACGAAACTCAATTATATGGGACTGGTGAAGCAAGGGAAGGATTTCCTGAGGCAAGTTAAACTATCATTTCCTATGGAAGGTTTCTGATCCAGAAGGTTTTTATTTTATTTATTTATCTGAGGAAGATTATGAATGAAGTTAAACTAGGTTTTGAGCTTTAACTTTGAGGTAGTTACTTTTGGCCATATGTAGGAGCAAACATAACCAAGTATGCTTATGAGTGAATGTGTAATTCTAGCTGACACCTTTTTTAGTGATTTTCACTTTCATGTATCGAGTGAAAAATGCTAAATTTTTTATACAGGTAATAACTCTGGAAAAGTAAAAAAATCAAAAGAAGACAATAGAGACTTGAGTATTGACATAATAGTAATGGATAATGCTCTAAACTACTCATATTGATAAACAAAATTCAAGTAAAAAAATTAATTAATTTAAAAGAAAAGAAGGGGGGGAATACCCTAGTATAGCCGCGCGGCTATACTATTTATTAAAGAAATTAAAGAGGACCCCAGTATAGCCGCGCGGCTATACTCTTTAAATCTATTATATTTACAAAGTATAGCCGTATTTATTGCCCCACAGCTCCCTCTTTAATTTATTTGGAATCTTTAATCTTTAATTTTGTGGTCAGTTGAATATTCATAACTTTATATGATTGCTGGAAGCTCGCCACTAGTCAGTCAGCTACGAACCATTCAACGTTTGACTCGTTAATTTTGATTAAAACATATAATTTTATAGAGCATATAATAAAATAATAAAACTAGCCAAGGCACTGTAGAACTCAAATACTTGGTTGGCGTCACCAGAAGTTGGTTTCCTACTGCAAAGCAAAACAACAAAAGCTTATTTAAATTTATTTTTGTGAAAAAGGCCAGAAACTGAGAGAAGACCAAAGCGCAGAAAACAGGAACGCACATAAGGGGAGAAAACAAACAGGGAGATACACGCAGTGAGAGAGTGAGAGAGAGCGACAGAGAGAGAGAGAGAGAGAGGTGATCGGTTATGGAGATGCTGTGGACATGGCTGTTGAGTTTCTTCTTCATTCTAGCTCTGTTATGCATTCTGGGTTATCAGGTAATTCTTTCTTAATTGTATGGCCCTTTTGCTTTTCAAAACATGCTTGATTCACAACCTAGGCCCATCTGGGTATGTTATTTTATGTTTATAATGTAGTGGGTTTTTTTTATTTTTTATTTTTATCAAATCAAGTATCTGTTCGCATATGCTTTTCGGTATTTCATAAACTTTTTCCATGGATTTAGAGCTTTTTTTCTCTTTAAAGACAAAAGATTTTTTTTCGTTTTTGCAAGACTCGGTTTTTTATTTGTTCTTTGACAGTCCCCAAACTCTGTTTCCCTTTAATGTAAAGAAAGTATGTTATAGAGACCCCGGTTGGGTTTTTTTTTGGGGAAAATTTGTAGAAAGCTTTTAACTTTTGTTGCTAAATTTGTAAATAAATAAAAAAGTGTTTGAATTTGTAGTTATGCATCTCAATTCTATGTTTAAATTCTTATGCAGAACAACCTGAGTTTGTAAAACAAATAAAAAATGCATAAGCTTATTGATAATGAAAAGAATATTGTCTAAATTTTTTGCAGAAATCTAGTTAATGAAGGTGAACTTGTTTTTGGCCTAAAGTGGCCGTCAGGCCTATTTTTGTATGGTAGAACTGCTCCTACAAGCCATAGATAGTTAAGTCACAGAAATGGTCTTACATTGTCTGGTGAATCTGGTTATTTAGAAGTGGTTCCTGAAATGCTTAGATATATGACCACTGCAAATGTTGAATGCAGCTTGTGTGCTTGGTGGACCTCGAATTCGATTACATCAACCCATATGATTCATCATCTCGGATAAACAGTGTTATTTTGCCAGAATTTATTATTCAAGGAGTTTTGTGCCTCATTCTTCTTATAGCGCGACATTGGTTTATGCTTCTATTGGCTCTGCCGCACCTATATTATAATGTGAATTTGTAAGTTTCTTTCTTATCCCTTACTCAAATATTGCTGTGTATAGAATTTTATAAATCATGACCTCTGTGTAATTTGTATGGTACAGTGTAAACAAATTACTTATGAATATAGAGTGAGCTTATTTGACACCAATATGATACTTCCATCCCCTCTAATCTTGTCACTCATGGTAGTTATGAAGAAAATTCATATTGTAGAGAAGTACTTCGGTTCACTTGAGTAGGATTTTAGTATAACTTTGTCAACTGAACAGTGTAAGAGAATGGTTGTTACAATCAAATGACTGTAGCATTCTGGTTTGTCTCTGTAACCTGGTTTACATGTGATTAACTAGTTGGGATAAGAAATTTATACTCAACTATAATTTGGTTTTATTGTCGTGGATATATGGCCAAGTTATCAACTTGAACTGCTTTTGGTGAAATCTGGATCTTTAGAAGTCTTAGTTCAAATGTGAAAGAATTACATTGAAGACTGACTACTCGTATCTTTTATGCATTTTCTCTGTCTAGGATAATTTTGATCCTTACCATGAAGTGCCAATTGACTGCGAGGCAGTTTGGGAATTTCGAGTTCTGCTTTAACAAAATATATCACATTTCACCAGATAACAAAAATTGTTGCTTTTAAATATCCTCGCTCCACCGCAATGTCCATTCTCTCTCTGCTCCCTCCCTCCCTCTCCCCATGTGTGTGTGTGTTGAACAGAAGCCTATGCAATGTATAGGCTATTAGGCACATTCCAAGTTGCTAGTACTTAACTAAATGCACAATGGTGTCTGGGAGGCAGCATGTTAGATTATACTTTGCATTGCAAATTATATTGAATGCTTTAGGAGGTTATTCAGATTTTCCTGTATGCACTGTATTTTTCATTATCTTTTAATGAAACATGTAAAGTTAAACTTGGAAGTGTCTAATTTGTAAGTTTTAGAGAGCAGAAGTTGTTTTAGTTCTTTAAAGCTCAGGAAAGATTGATCAAGAACAGAATTGTATTGCGTTTTATGATTAGAAGAAGAATAATTTCATTCAGCAAACCTCCTTAGGTACCATAATTTCTGATATGATTTGTATGATCAGGTACATGACGAGACAACACTTGGTAGATGTGACTGAAATATATAACCAGCTGAGCTGGGAGAAAAAGAAACGGTTTTTCAAGATTGGCTATCTTTTGGTCCTATTCATCCTTTCTCTATTCTGGTATTGTGATAAGAATGTTGTCACAGCCTTAGTAAATTGTTTTTCGCTCTTTTTAAGCACTTGGGTGAAATTAAATGTTCCTTTCATGTAAATGTGATTTAGGTTGCTTTGGAGCATTGGAGATGAATATGATTAACCAGGCATTGTTGCTCCCACCAAGCCTGCACACTGTAAGTTTATGTTACTCTTTAATTGCTGTTATGTGTTGCAGTTGAGAACCGTACATAAGTTAGGCCATTGTGTTTGTTTGCATGTTGCGAGTCAATTGTTTATACTCGAGTCTTTAGGAAGGAAGAAGTGGATATTGTATGATCATCTAATTTTTTCATATATATCGTGTCCGTTTCACCAAACCATAATGCTAAATTTCCCAAGTAAGCAATCTTTTTATATTTAGGTCAACATTGTAATCTCTTATTTTGTAAGAGTCAACTTTTGTTATCAAATGCATGTCGTGTATTGAGCATTCCTTGGTTGTTGTGGTCTCGGTATCAGGTACGTCATTTTTCCAGGATGATACTAATTACTTTGGCTAATTCCAGGTTTCTATGATGGAACCCGAGAGACGGACATGAGTGGATATGAATCAGGACTTGTGCAAATTCAGCTCGGTTTCGGCACCTGATTTGTCATTTAATTTTCTGTGTTTGTAGTGTTACAGATGCTCCACTTATATGTATGCGTATGCTTGCATTCGTCCCATTTTATCCATAAATTTTCTCTGATCACATTGTGAAGCAGCATAAGCTAGAAGTGCTTGCATATGGCTCTGCCCTATATTCCTTCAACAGTTCCATTCTAATTCAATTTGCAATGCGATCAATTTTCTTCCCTCTTATTTGCACACTAAAAACAAGTCGGCAAAGTACCTTTGTCCTCTCCTTGTCACGGCCTCTTGTAAATAAAAAGTTGTATTTAGTTTTACTAACAAATTAGACCCTGCTAATTTCACAATTAGACTGCAAGTAGTTGTAGCTTATCTGTGAACAAATATTTTCTCTACTGCTATGCTTCCAGATGTTTTCACTGTTTCGTAAAGTTGAGTATTACGAATTTAGGTGTATCTTGTGTATTTATTAATGGATTAATTATTACTCGCAAGTGCACAAGGTCAATTATAATATAGTATGGCAAATGTCATTCCCATGAGAATTGAGTTCAATTTTCAATTAGTCTAACCTAATTTACTTCACAAAATACTTTAACTACTCTAATTATATAAACAAGAAATTAAACACGTAGTATACTTACGTAAATACAAAAGGTGTTTTTGAAATAATGATTTAATTACGACGAAATCAAAAGACAAAACAAGTAGAAAGTCATGAAACACAAGGATGAGAAATTCAAATTAATAAAAGCACTAGGACAATGAATTCACCACTAGTAATCCGATCTTGCCTTTTATTCACCTACCTATTAACTAACCATTTGATGTCGCCGCTTAGTTTTCCTTTTTCATGAATTACCTATGGTATTTAGACTAACTCGTACATTCCTACATGCAATTCGCCTATGGTATTTAGGTCAAATATTAACACATAGAAACTCATGAGATCAATGAAAACCTCCAACAAGCATGTAAACCCTAGGAGTATGGTATTTACCCTAGACGAATTACAAATCCTAATCACAAGAAGCAAGCCTCAAATTAAGAATGGTATTTACTTTAATTTGCATCCGATTAACTCAATTAAAAGTCTAGACGGTGATCAAGCATCAAGATAAACCAAGTTATTAAGCACAGTAATTAAGAATCCAACATCAAACGTCAATCAATAGATAGGTAAAATAAGAAAACTAGATTATCATACTAGGGTTACATCATGCCCTAGCAAAAGAAAATTAGTTACACATTGTTGAGGCCCAAAAAGTCATGACAAGCCCAAAAACATTTAAAACCCGAAATGACGTACGCAATAGGAAATAAATTGGTCATTAATTAATTCCAATTATATTTTTGGCAATTAATTTAGCAAAATAAATATATACACAAGCCTTTAGACAAATTCTATTAGCATCCATGTCATGCCAAAAACCTATTCCTTTAAATTCTGACATGTCACTAAGCTCAGTCACAAAAGCCCAAGTCACTGTAACACATGCCCAAGCATTCCAAGCACATGTCAAATAACTCCATGTCAAGCTAATACATTTTCCTATGTCAATCACCTACCAAGCTCACATGAACCCAAGTCATGTGGTTTATAGGGCTTGCATGAGAGATTATGGTGTGAAAGGTTACGGAGGTCCACAAGGCCCACGAAAGCTCTTGGATAATGGAGATTTTGGGCTAGCTACTTAGGAGCACCAAAGTCCAAACCCATTACTTGGAGTTCTCCAATGTGGGTGAGCAAATAAGATATTCTTCAAGAACTTCCTTTTACCCATAGGAAATAGTCATTTTCCAACGTCTGGCTTTACTTGTTGGAAATAAGAATGTCTCAATGCTCCCTATTACCAGCTGGAAACAAGCCAATTCCAACACTTCCTTTTACCTATAAGAAATAGTCATTTTTCAATGTCTAGCTTTACCTGCTGGAAATAAGAATGTCCCAATGCTCCTTTTTATCATTGGAAATAAACTAGCTCCAACACTTCCTTTTACCTATTGGAAACCAAAGAGAGCCTTCACCTTCTATAAATTGGGAGGCATTGCCGAGGCAAAACCAACTCCTCTTGGTTACTACAAGCCTCTCAGCAACCATGAGAACTCACCTTTCTCTTAACTGTTGCAAGCATCCAGTGACCATCGACCTATTCTCTTGGCTACTACAAGCTCCCAGCAGCCATCACAACCATGTCTCATACTTTCTCATCCTTGAAATCCTTAATCTTCTTCATAAAGCCTCACCTCAAGCATAAGCCCAAGCTACTCCTTCATCCTCCCACCTCTAGAAGTCATAAATCTCTCTAGAATCATAGTCACAAACACCATAGCCTTCAAAGTCTTAAGCTTTTCTTTCCTCAGCCATGCTCTTTGAAACCCTATTCATTTGACTACTATAAGCATCCCAACAACCATCACAACCAAACAATCAAACCATCATAGTCATAGCTTCAAACAATAAATTATCAACACCCGAACTCAAGCATATCAAACACCAAGCCAAGCACAAGCATTCTCATTTGCTAAACTTGTGGGTCGTTAGCTCCCACACTCCAAGCTCTCTTGTCAAGCTCATATAATCTCAGTTCAACGTCTGCAAATCATCTTCACCCCTTTTAGAGCTGCCGGAAACCTCAACACAAAACATGCAGCCACTAGAAGAACAACAGAGTACTCCCCTAGGACTTGCTTTTCTTTTAGGATGCTTTTGGCCTAATTCTCGCTAACTCAGAAAAAGGGGCAACAAATGCCTGATTCACCACTCTATGATAGTCCAAGAATGAATAAGCCCGAACAAGCCTTCTGATAGAAAAAGACCCCAACACGCATAATCATAGAATTCGAATAAACAAAAACATAAGGAAGAAACAATAAAACTTGGCCAGAGCATCCTCCCATAGGAGTTGTTTCTCATGATTAAATAAAGGCTTTTTTATTACAAAACATCTCTGACGTTTGCGAAACTATCATATTGCATCCTTAAAGTTTTTTTGTATCACTTATGGTCCCTAACGTTAATATAGGTGCTCTTAAATAGTCATTCTGTCAAAAAAAACTGTTAAATCCAGGGATATAATCGTCAAATCAATCCAAAATTATAAAATATATATTTTTTATTTCTTTCCCTTCTCTCTTTCTTTCTTCTTCTTCTTTCTCCCTTTCTTTTCTTCTTCTTCTTTCTCTCCGCTAGATTCTTCTTCTTTAAGCCTGGTGAGTGCATTGCCCTTGGCACCTCTAGTGGGAATTGGAGAAATGTATAGAGGTGATTGAGGAAGAATCAGCTGCAACAAAAAGCGGGTCGTCGATTGCTGACCTGTCAACCGTATTGAACTCAAAGAGCATGCTCTGAACCCAACCAGAGAGATTAGATGGGTTGTAGTGGACTGTATCAGAAATCTGAGAAATCCCATCTTCCTGAGCAGAGCCCATGACCATTTCCAGCTGCTCGAGCTTTTCTGCCACTTCTGCTATATCTGAGGCCCGAACCTTGCAACCCAAAACGGCAAGCAACTCATCAATGCTGTTGCCGCCACTGCCGCCGCAACCATCTTGGTCTTGTTCCCAAATTTTGGCCTTGCCATTCAGCACTGAGGATGTGGACGACGAGTATTTGCCCTTGGAACTATTTTTATCCTTGCAGGTATCGCAGTGATCTCTCTTCATCTTTTTTTTTTTTTTTTTTTTTTCTTTTTTTTTTTTTTTTTTTTTTTTTTTTTGAGTTTGATTGTTGTGAGGAGGAAGAAACAGAGAAAGAAGATGCACTGAGAGATATAAACCAAACCACAACCACTAGGGTGAACATGCTATCAAGCAGAGAGCAAGAAGAATATTGAGAGATATAAACAGAGCAAGAAGAATATTGAGAGATATAAACCAAACCACAACCACGAATATGTTTTTTCTCATATATATATATATAACCTATCAGGTGGAGAGAAAGAAGAAGAATCTGGCGGAGAGAAAGAAGAAGAATCTGGCGGAGAGAAAGAAGAAGAATCTGGCAGAGAGAAAGAAGAAGAAGAAAAGAAAGGGAGAAAGAAGAAGAAGAAAGAAAGAGAGAAATGGAAGGGAAAAAAATTTATAATTTTGGACTGATTTGACGATTATATCCCTAGATTTAACAATTTTTTTGACAAATGGACTATTTAAGAGCACCTATATTAACGTTAGGAACCATAAGTGATACAAAAAAACTTTAAAGATGCAATATGATAGCTTCGCAAACGTTAGGGACATTTTATGATTAAAAAAACCTTAAATAAAACACCACACGTCTATTCCTACCTTAGTTGGGCTTCTACAACAGCCCAAAAATAAAGAAAAATCTAATTAAAACATAAATAAGTAATTGACTCATCTTCCTACTTCGATTGGGATAACATGTTAGTTACTTTGCACACACGTTTGGAATCATTCCTCCTCTAAGAAAAGTCGGGAAAAATATGTAAATTGTAGGTCTTTGTCTTATATTTCCAACCATATATTACATGCTTTGAGGAAAAATCAAAAAAGTCTTCAAATAATCATTCTTCCACAGTAGCACAGTTTTGACGGGATTGCACCTTATGCTGACTTAACTTCAAAGACTGCTCTCATTAGCTGCTACAAAAATTCTGGAAAAATTCCACAATCATCTTCAAGATCTTAGCTTTCATCTCCAACTAGTCTTGTACTAAAACTCCACCAAAAAGTCATATTTCCATTGAAAACTAATTACTTGCTCCATAAAGTTGAAAATTGAGAAAATAAAGTAATAAGTCATTTTTAAATCTAATTCTCCTACAAAAACTAAGTATAAAGAATACCTAAATGTGTAATTTATGGACTTATCAATGATGCCTCCTAATTTGGTTTAGGCAAGGAAGAAACTCCCTACAACCTATTTTCTTATCGAATACCTCTAAATTTGTATAATCGCTCACAAAAATCAAAAACTTTGTATAAGTTTGAGTTTACAATTCGTCTCATACTTTAATCACTCACAAAAATCAAAAGCCTCGTGTAAGTTTGAGTTTACAATTCCTCTCATACGTAAACTCCACTCCACTATTGATCTGTTCATTTCTGTGAGATGAATATTCCTCTATTGCAATAGAAAGTTTCACATTGGCGTAGACTTTTGCATCTAGTTGCAAAATGCAAAGAATATATAAAGTTAGCTAACGTTGACCCCGTTATGGTTAGCAACAATGGAAAATGGGTAGAAACAGTCCGTTCATTTTTTTTCTTGGGACATTTTGAAAAAAAACCAAAGAAGAGAGAAATATTTTGAAAAGAAGTGAAAATGGACAAAATGCCCTTATTATTTTTGGATTTCCAAAGGAATCCTTTACATTTGCATGTCTTTGGTTTGAAAGTTGATGAGTTTTTCTATCTTTTTCAGAAAAGTTTTGGCTTTTTCCAAAAGTGAAAATTTTTTTGTGACTAAAACCTAAATTTGCTTTTTTTCTTTGACAATTTCCTCTGTTGTGTTGGTACGGTTCGGCTAGGTGTTTGGTAGTTTAGAATCTTCTATGATATTAAACGTAATTATTACTAAAACGGAAAATTTATAAATAAATGATGAAATTAATTACCTGATTTTACTTCGAGTGAGGCTTAAGATTAGGTTAAAACGGTAGAAATTGACCCTTCATATCATATTCCTATACTATGGATGCTCCAAACTGTGCGACGCAGAGACCCTATATGCTTAGCAGAATGAAAATTAAGAAAGTATTTTTGGTCACAAAGGAGTCTAAAGAGTCAAGGAATGATTCGAACTCTCGACTCTCAACCACAAGAGCTACAAGTTCCTCCAAACTAAGGTATTATTTAGCAATTCTTAAAAAGTGCTTTTAACATTCCTGTGTTTGATAATTACAATTTAGTTTTAGTATATTTTTCTCATGGGTATTCAAAAAACGCTAGGGAAGATATAGTTTCCTAAGATTACGCTACTCGACGAACCCTAGATCAAAATGGCGATCATATCCCCTAAGTATGGTTTTGAAAAAATCAAACTCTATTCATGTCTTTGTAATAATATACCTTCTTTCCTAGTCTCTGTCTGGAATAGGACTTGTTTGGTCGGTTTGAAGTTTCATCATGTGATGATTTTATTGTGCTTGTTGGAGGACTACTTGTTTGAGTTTATACTATTCAACGAACTAATTTGAGAAATACCGACATGGAGGTCATTAAATTGGACTGAGGTTGAAATGTGAGAAACTTGTATATTACTTATCTATATAGTTGACTGCTGGCATAGACAACTAGCAAATAGCAAACCACATGACATCCATTTGGAAGGGTCTTCTTGCGTGCACCTGGACTTGTTTGAGTTTATACTAGCTCTTGACTCAATAAAGTAATTGGAGAAAGACGGGCATGGAAGCCGTTAAATTGGACTGATGTTGAAATGTGAATAGAAAGAAACTTGTATATCCTATCAGTTTGGTTAACTACTGGCCATAGACAACTAGCAAATAGCAAACCCACGTGTATTTAACAATTTCCATTCACAGTCTGACAACATCACATGCCAAACTATTTGACAAGACAAAATATCAAATTTATGGACCGTTTAATAACCATTTCAATTTTAGATTTTAGTTTTCAATTTTAATTTTTAGTTTTCAAGATTTTGTTTTTCATTTTGTTACTCATCCTCCCCTCTCATCTTCTCTCTCAATCTCTTCCTCACTTCCATTCTCACTCTCATTTTCCACTATACTCTAGCACAAAAATTTAAAACTAAAATTGAAATGATTATCAAACAGGCCCCTAAATAGCTGCATTTCATAGATTTCATTTGGAAACGTCAAGCAGTGGATAAGTCATACTAGGTACTTCTTAATTCTAGACCAGTGACCATGACATATATATATTATGTCATATACACACACAGTGACACATATATATCTCTCTTCCAACATGAACTCTAATCATCAAGCATATAGTGAATGCTATATTTCTTCAAGACTCAACAACTAAAGACCTTGTTTCATTAAAGATTTGAAAATAAAAAGCAAATGTTTTTGTTGATGACTTTGGAGTAGATATTTTCAGTAGGAAATGTTTACACCTTGATGATCTGCTGACACCTTGAGGATATATAAAGAAACTGGTATGTGGTTAATTTCCACAAGACAGTAGAACACACAACATGCAGTCCAGGTTAGGCAAAAACATGAAGGATTTTGAGACCTTTCTGTACAAAACCACATCCCATGAGAGCGATATATGATATAAAACTTTGAAATCTCTAGCTATTTATTTCTATTTGGAGCCTTTTGTCATTTTATGTGGAAATTTCACATTTAGACAGACTATTTATGCTCAATATACGCCTATCAATCCGAATTGGGTTGCCTGCTGACTCATGACATTCATTTGGTAGTGCGTTCTTATGTATTCAATTTATTATTATTCATAATTATTGATATTAACATTCTCACAACATAACATGTCGACGAACACTAATCATTCTTAGACCAGTCACATTTATATCTCTTCCTACATGAACACTAATCATCAAGTGCCACAACATACTGCTAAAATATGAGAACTATGATAGAATATTTGTTTGTGGGAATTTTCTGTGTATTCTTCTCCTTGTAGGAGGTCATATTTATAATACAACAAAACCTGAATGGGCAAGTAAATAATAGATTCC